TCCATGATTCTCAGATCTACTTACCTAGACCTCCCCTCTCTCCTGACCTCCATTTTCATACCTTTTGGCCATCTTGAACTGGATGTCCCATAAAACAAGGGAAACTCAACATGTCTTAAACTGAACTTATTAGTATTCCCACAAACTCTCCCCCTGACTTCTTAATTTTCCTATTACTGTTGAGGGTATCACCACCCTCCCACTCAGGCTCACAGTATAAATGTCATCCTCAACTCCTCACTCATTCTCATTCTCCCACATCCAATCAGTGGTCAAGTTCTGTCATTTCTACCTCAACAATTATAACTGTCTTCCTTCTCTCCTCTGATATTGCCGTCACTCTGATAAAGGCCCTTATCATCTCAAGCCTGGACTAACTATTAACATAGCTTCTGGTTGGTTTCCTTGCTTTAAGTGTCTCCCCACTCCAATAGCCTCATAAGTGTGGATCTGACCATGTCACACACCCCTCCCCCCCAGCAGTTCCCTCTTATTTCCAGGATCAAATATAAAATGCCTTGTTTAATATTCAAAGGCCTTTATAACCTGGCCCCCTCCCATGATTTCAGTCATATTACACTTTCCTCCCCCTGCCTTCCTCCCACATACTCTGTAGTCCAGTGACAATGGCCTCCTTGCTGTGGCTCAAATAAAACACTTCTCAACTCCAGGCATTTTCACTGGCTGTTCCCCAGGTTTAAAATAGTCTTCCTCTTCATTTCAGTCTCCTGGCTTCCCTGGTTTCCTTCAAGTTCAGCTAAAATCCTACCTTCTACAGAAAGCCTTTCCTGATTCCCCTAAATATTAGCACCTTCCTTCTGTTGATCATCCCCAATTTGTTTTGTATTTATCTTGTATGTACTGTTGTTTACATGCTATTTCCCCCATTGAATTGTAAACTCCTTGAAAGCAGGGATTGTTCTTTGCCTTTCTTGTATTCCCAATGTACAGTGCCTGGCACATAGTAAGGGCTTAATTAATGCTCATTGACAGCAATGTCTCAGAGAAAAACAGCACAAACTCAATTAAAACTTCCAGAAGAGATGAAGCAAGAGTTTAAAAAAATAAAAAAGGAGTTAAGGGGAAGCTAGGTGGCACAGTGGATAGAGCACCGGCCCTGAAATCAGGAGGACCTGAGTTCAAATCTGGCCTCAGACCAAACACTTGACACTTACTAGCTGTGTGACCCTGGGCAAGTCACTTAACCCCAATTGCCTTAAAAAAAGGAGTAATAATAATAATTAAAAAAGAATAACTTGCAGAATGGGGTATAATACTACAAGTGAAAATTGGATTTTTAATGAAATAGAGGTCTTCCAAACATCCCTGATATAAAGCAGAGGTATAGAGAAATTTTGAAGTTCAAATATAAGAGTGAAGAGAAGTATAAAAGGGCAAACATAAATGAATAATGATAAAGGTCTAAACAAGGATATATAGAGAAATGATACATATGATCTCTCTATCTCCCTATTATCATCAGGATTCATAGAGGGAGCCTAATTTAGACAAAGCCTGGGAGTGGCTCTGTCATATCTTCATTATCTTTTTTAAAAAATAAATTTATTATTTATTTTTAACATTTATTAAAAAAAAAATTTGAGTTCTGAATTCTCTCTTTCCCTCAAGTCCCACCCCATTGAGAAGGTAAGAAATGTGATTTCAATTATACAAGTGAAATCATGCCAAACATATTTCTATATTAGCCATGCTGCAAAAAAAAAAAAGGGGGAAAAAAATTATGCCTCATACTGCACTTAGACTCCATCACTTCTCTCTCTCTGGAGGTGGATAGCAATTTTCATCATAAGTCCATCAGGACTGCCTTGGATCATTGTATTGATTAATATAGCTAACTAATTCACAGTTAATCATCATACAATATTGCTATTTACTGTGTACAATGTTCTCCTGGTTCTGTTCAGTTTACTTTTCATCAGTTCACATAAGTCTTTCCAGATTTTTCTGAAATCTGCTCATCATTTCATAGCACAATCATACTTAATCACAATCATATACCACAGTTTGTTTAGCCATTTTCCTGATTGATGGGTATCCCCTCAAAATTTCCAATTCTTTGTCACCACAAAAGGAGCTGCTATAAATATTTTTGTTCATATAGTTCCTTTTCCTTTTTCTTTGACCTCTTTGGAATATTATCTTCATGATCTTAAGAAAAGAATGGAAAGAGAGAGGAAGAAGAATGCACTGGTTGAGGGGAAAGGGAGAAGGAAAAGGAAGGTTAGAGGAAATCATCTCATATAATCAAAGTGCACAAGTAGATATCTATTCAAACAAGGAGGAAGAGGTGGGGGAGGGGGGAGCAGCTGACATTTGAGCCTCAATCTCATCTGAATTGATCAACACAAAGTTGGGTACAAAAGTATCCAACTTTTTACTCAACCCATTTTACTCCACAGGAAAATGGGAGAGAAAGGGGAAAAGTGGGGAGAGGGAATTAGTGGAAGGGTAGATTAAGGGAGGGATTAGTCTTAAGCAAAACCATCTCTAAGGGTGTACAAAAATATTTATAACTCCTTTTGAAGTGGCAAAGAATAGGAATTGAGGAGGAGCCCAAATATCGCAGAACAAATGAACAATAAATACATGGCATATAAATGTGATAGAATACTATGGTGCTCAACGTTAATCAATGTAATGACCGATCAGGATTCCAGACACTAATGATGACACATACTACCTATCTCCTGAGAAAGAGAGGGCTCACAATGCAGGATGAGACAAATTTTCTTTTGGACGTGACCAGTGGAAATTTATTTTGATTGACTATACATGTGTGTAATGGGTCTTGTTTTTCTCAGGTTCTCAATTAGGGATTGGGAGAGTAAACAGGTGGATCTTGGCTGATTAAAACAAATAAAAATTTTTTAAAAATAAATGTGCGTTGACTGAATAATTAGCATCGGCACTTGGAAAAGAAGCTGAACAAAAGGGAAAGAGGTAGTCAGTTTTCTGAGAGCCAGAGTGGTCCCCTAGAGCGCAGCTGATATTCAGTGCTGCCCATGGGAATTAAAATTACGTTGAGCTCTCTAGTCATTACTTCACAGCAGTCCTAGTGGTCTCATAAAGGGCCTTAGTGGTCACAGAGATGAAGACTCAGAAAAATGAAGTAACTTACTTAAACACAGGCATTGAGTGTTGGAGCTCCTTTAGGAACCCAGGTTTCATGACTTCAAATCCAGCACTCTTTTCACTATACCCTGCTATCTTTCATAAATGCACACCACAGAAAAAAACCTGCCCGAAGTACACAAACCCTAAGCCAGGATCCGTAACTGCCATTTTGCTGGGGTAAACTAAGATTACTGCGCAGGGGACCACATGCCATAGAAACCTCACATCCTGCACAACCCACATCAGTCCCCTGAGAGGTATATTCTCACTGTAAATACTTGCACAGGATTCCAGATAACCCACATTTTGCATCACTGACCACAATCCAGATAACCCACATTTTGCATCAAGGTATTCAGTCTTTTTCAGAAAGGGAATCTGTTCTTCCTTTTTCACATGGGCTTACAATCACTATAGAATAGATGCAGGGATGGAGAGCGACGGCTGCCCGAGGCTGTTGGCCAGGCAATCTGCCAAGTCCACCTTCAAGACCTCTAGTCAATCATGATTTATTTGCTGAACAGATTCTTTTCATGATAAGAAGAAAAGACATCCTTCCCTTAGAGCCATACTCTAGATCAGAGGTGTCAAGAATGCTAATTGTTGCCTGCAATACTCCATAGTGTGCCAGAACCAGATTAGTTATCAAAATATATAATAAAACATAGATAACATTACGTTTACAACTATGTAGCCCACAGTGATCCTTACGTATGGTTTGTTGTTGTTGCTCAGTTGTTTCCAACTCTTCCTGACCCTATTTGAGGTTTTCTTGGTAAAGATACTGCCAATTCCTTTTCCAGCTCATTTTACAGGTGAGAAACTGAGGTAAACAGGGTTAAGTGACTTGCCCAGGGTCACACAGCTAGTAAGTGTCTGAAGCCACATTTGAACTCATGAACATGAGTCTTCCTGATTCCATGCCTCGCATTCTATCCACTGCACTACCTAGCTGCCCCTATGTATGGTTTAGTGGCCCCCATTTCTTTTTTTTTAATTTAATTTTTATTCTGATATTTTCTCAAATATAAAAAGTCAAAATTCTTACACCAATCTTCAAAAGAAAACCATGGAGAACAATTAAAAATATTTACAGTCTTTTGTTTCCTTAATTTGCTTCTTTATACTAGTTTGTTGTCAACAGAACAGACTTTTCTTGAAAATTCCACACTGTTAGGTCAACCCTGATCATGGTCCATCCAGATGGCCCCAAGATGACTGCCTTAGTGGGCTGGGCACTCCAACGTCTTAAGTGTTAAAAAGCATGGCACTTAGCCAGCTGGGAAACTTCAACTGTAGTTTACAAAAGGGGCAGAAAACATCTTTTTCCTAATGTCAACAAGTCAGAATTACTGATGGTCTTGTTCTATAAGTTATCTTTTTTTTTTTTTTTTTTGGCTAGGCAATGGGGTTAAGTGACTTGTCCAGGGTCACACATCTAGTAAGTGTTATGTGTCTGAGGCCAGATTTGAACTCAGGTCCTCCTGAATCCAGGACCAGTGCTCTATCCACTGTGCCACCTAGCTGCCCCTGCTAATTTTTTTTTTTAGCATCTTTGTTTCTAATCATAAGTAGGCGTCCTGCCCACTCCAAAATAATTTTGGCGACAAGGAATCAAAGTCAGTTGTGAACCTTTAAGGAAGAGGACCACAAGTAATGTAGCAATGAGTATAGTGGGCCCCATTTCTATTGGAGTTTGACACTACCGTTCTAGATAATCAAAAAAAAAAAAAAACACAGTTTAATATAACTGATGGGTAAAACAGAGTTTTCACCCACTCCTCCCTCATTCCATTGTTCAGCTGATATCATTTTTGAATGGGCATCTTCGGCTCTGTGAGGAAGGATCCTGGCAGGGTACTCACCTCATACATGCCAATGTTAGAACTGTCTGGGGGCTGGCTAGGGATGCTACGCATGTCAGATACGCTGTGGGCAGCCAGGCTTGAACGGCTCCCCTCTGTTACCTGGGCAGGGAGGGAGTCAGAGCAAGTATAAGATGATGGGGAAGTAAGTAGGGGGAGGAGACAGCAGCTTTGGGCAGTGATTGAAATCAGGTTGGGGTTGAGAGTTAAGGATTAGGGAAAGAGGAGGGTAGGGGCCAGGTGTCAAGGAAGAAAACAATCACCTCTTCCATGTGTATAGTTATTTATAGGGTAAAGCCCTTTCACATCCTTTCCCCCATTATATCCTTACTGCTATGAGATAATTAGTCCTCAGGTAATAATACTGTTATCCCCATTTTACAGAGAAGGAAACTAAAGTCCAGAGCGATAAATGGAATGAATTTCTTGGAAAGTCACACAGTATTTCAGTAGCAGTGACCACATGGGAACCCAGGTCTCCAGACTCCTGGTCCAGGGCTCTGGCCATTACCCCACTCTACTTCTCAGAAAATAGACTGGGTAGAGAGCCAGGGGAATCAGAGCATGGCAACCAGGGGCTGAAATGATACCCAAAAAATTTTCCAGAGTCTCCCACCTCTTTTCCCTGTCTCTTGGGACCAGATTGCTACCCAAATCTCTCCCCCTCCCCACACACACCTAGACTCCCATACCTTTCGGGAGCTGCTGCCCTGCCGAGGGAGGAAAGTGATGTCCTCCAGAGTCAGGATCATCTTGTTGGGACCAGAGATCATCTGGGCATGGAGGAGCTGGCGTCTGGGAACCCAGATGCAGAGGAGTCATTTTGGAAAGGGGAACTTGGGGAGAGAGTGATAGGAAGAAGGAGAGAACCACCCCAGGTACAGGAGAGGAAATGAGGGAGCTTTATCCCTGTGGTAATAGAGGGTGATGGTAGGCGAGCTTCCAATTCCTTCTAGCACCTCTTCTGCCAAGGCCACACAACTTGGCTGGGACTGACAACAACCCCAATACCCATCCACTCTCCTTGGTCTGATGAGCAATTTCTTTGCTCTACAACCTCAGTTATGGAAGGTAGAACCAGGCTATACAAACACAAGGTTCCCAGAGCCAGGTACAGAGAGGAGAGTTGACTTATCTATCAACTCCCAATACCAGTTTCTAGAACTACCCCCTACTCCTTCCTATACGTCCTGCTCCCCTTTTCCATCCAGTTTCTCCACCTTCCCAACCCTCAGCTTACCGAACATAATAGGCCAGTATGGCAACCACCAGCCCCACAGCAGCAATGATGAGGATAACAAGAAGGATGAAGCTGGGCTCTACTCCTGAGGGCAAGAGGAAAATGGAGAGGAACTCAAGGTGGCAACATTTACTGGGGGTGGGGGGCAGACAGGGAAAGAGAATTTGGAAACATGATAATCAAATGGACGAAGTAAACTTAAGGGGCAGAGCCAAGGTAGGATCTCTGGTCTGGTAGGCCTAGGAGGGAACTTTTAAGATGGTATTGAGGGAGAGTTCTCACAGAGAATCAGAAGGTCCCAGTAGGTTTCTAGGAGAGAGATACTTGGGGTTTCTAGGAGGTCTGAAGGGGAGTCCACAGAGAGAGAGAGATCCTGAAGTGAGAGGCGGGACAGCCAGCTGAGGAGAAACTGGAGAATCCCAGGAAGAATTACATAGGACATATGTGGTCTTAGGGATGGAGAATGGGAAAGAACCTCACCTCCACTGCAGATCACGTTGGGGTCGAACCAGCAAGGAGGGTCAAAACCAGGTCCCCGGCCACCATGAGGAAAGTGGATGGGATTACCAACATAGTTGAGAATACCCTGGGCTGGGTCCAGTGTGTAAGTAGGGAGCAGCTGGTCTCCCACCCCATCTGTATCCAGTAGCACAAAAGGAGGCTCCTTTGCCCCTCCCAGGTGTCCACAGAAGCCAGGGACCTCGGTTTTTGGAATGTGATGGGCCACTGCTGCCCCAGAGACCCAGCTGCCACCCCCAGCTACTTGTGCTCCTGCCACAGCTCCTGCCAGCAGGTAGATAACGTCATAGATTGTGCCGAAGAGTGGGGATACCTGAAGAATGATAGAATCAGAGGCCATCTAATCTAAGCCTTTACAACATCCCTAACAAGCAGTCATCCAGTCTCTGTTTGAAGACCTCCAGTAATGGGGAATTCAAGGTGGCCCATGTCCCTTTTGAGATAGCTCTAATAGTTAGGAAATTTTTCTTTGTATCTATGATTTCCAGTTAACATTCCTAGTTCTGTTCTCTGAGACCCAAAGAAACAAGCTTAATTCCTCATCTACGTATAATCTTTCAAATATTGTCACAGTTATGTCCCTCACTATTCCAATGACCTTCCTTTGCATGCCCACCACTTCACCAGTGTCCTTCTTCAAACACTCCAGATAGGAGTCTGACCAAAGCAGAACTATGAGCTCCTTCCTTCCCATACTTCTTTTCCCAGCCGTGTCATAGGATAAACTCATTTTGAACTCTGGGTCCACTAAAACCCCCAGCTTCTTTTCACATGAGCTGCTCATTTCACCCCCCCACTCCCACCTTCTTGTATTTATGTAACTGTTTTGTTTTTCACAAAGTGCGAGACATTACATTTTCCTCTGTATTACATATCATTTTGTTAACTATGGCCGATTGTTCCAGTCCATCAAGGTCCTTTTAGATTCCTGTGCTGTTATCCAAAGTATTACCTAGCCTTGAAAGCAGACCTAATGCTCCAAACGAGGGAGGTGATGATCCTCATGCATTCTACTCTGATCTGACACCTGGAGTATTGTGCTCAGGTCTGGCTACCACATCTTAAGGACATTGAAAAATTGGAGGACATCCTACTTTCTAAGTATGTGTCATCCAGAAATTAGATGAACATGCCTTTGACCAAGTCATTGATGGAAGGGTAGGAGGGAAGAGAGAGACTGGGCCAGAGCCACGCCTGTCCCACTAATCAGGAATCCATCTTCCCTATTGCCTCCCTGACCCGGCACTCTTCAAGTCTCCCTCTCCACTGGCTAAGGGGAGACGTTTTACATCAGCTTAATCCTATCTCTCTGTTGATTACTAGATACCCATTCTCAGTTCCTTACAGTTCTTTCTTTACCTCCTTCTTATACTGCTGTTCTCTCATCCCATCACCTTCGCTGCTAGAACTCCATCTCCTCTCCCCATTGTTCCAGGACCATCTCTTCCTGATTAGGGAAGGCCCTCCACCTTATCTACACCCTCTGAGTCCCCGTGTCTCTCCTCACCTGCTGGGGTTTAAGGTCCAGCGGTAGCTCCTGGTACTCCTGGGCCTGGCGTAAGCTAGCTGATACACTCCCCTTAGGGCAGTAGCGGGTTAGAGTGAGCACGGCATCATGAGCTTTTCGGAGTCTGGAACTGTTGGCGAGGGGCTTTAGGGCCTCAGGGCCAGGGGGCAGGGCATAGTGCAGGGTGTCGAAGGGAAGGAACACCATTGTGCCTTCTACTAGGCCCAGTTCCTCGGCAGCCTCCAACAACAGCCGTTGCTCCTCCCCACCCAGTAGAACTGAATGCATCACCATGATCACCACTGCAGAGGAAGGCCAGGCCAGGGGTGGGGAGGTGCTCAGGCATCAGAACCTGACTTCTTCCTATTTGACTCGGGAGTTCCCCCATCCTAGGCCCCTGGCTCAACTTCATCTTCCCAACTACCTTCCCCTCCTAGATAAACCATACCCAGAGCCATAACTAAGGGAGGCCCACCATTCCCATGCCTTGAGGTCCTCTGTCATCCCTCTTCACAAGGAATAGACTATACTGGGCTTCCTCACCCAGCCCCAGGCTATCACCTCCATGTCATCCCTCTTCACAAGGAATAGACTATACTGGGCTTCCTCACCCAGCCCCAGGCTATCACCTCCATGTCCCTGTGGCTGTGCTGCTCCTCTGCTAGGGCTTGCCTATCTTCTTTCACTACCACCTATCCCCACCCCACCTCTTCTCAGGGGTTAGGGGTTCAAGGAATGTTTGCCATGATGCAGTGGTTCTGCATCCACTCCTTGGGGGCCAGGCCATCTCCCTTTACCAGTGAGATGATGCCTGTACAAAGCCAAGTCCAAGAATTGTCCCTGCTTGCAAGAATTCTTAGTTGCAGCTCTACCCATACCTTTGACCTTGGGACCATCTCTGACTCTTTTTAGGGCATTCTTGGCACTTTCCAGGTCCGTAGTCTCCAAGGAGGTCACCATGACCACAGGCAGGCCCCTGCTGCGGAGCACCCCAGCAAGGGCCTGGCCAGCCTCCACCCACAGGTCCTGTGGGGCAGTGACTAGGGCTACCTTGGCCCAACGGAATGCCCGCAACAGGGCATAGAGGGCATCAGGGGCAAGGGGAAGGGCAGGGGCTGTGGTTCGAGCTTCCCCCTGGGGACAGCCCCAGGGTACCAGGGGGACCCCAGCTTCTTGGGCCAGCAGTTCAGCAGGGTGGCATGCAGCTGGGTTCACAGGACCCACAAGGCCAGAGACACGGGCTAATGAGGGGGCTAGGGCCCCCAGGGAACCCGAGGTGTGGCATGGCTCTGGGAGCAGGATGACCTCAAACCAGGGACCACCTTCCAGGGCTTTGTCGTGGTTCAGGCGGGTAGCAGCCAGGCGGGCAGCCAGGTCTGGGTGGGCCCGGGAAAAGATAGGGTCACAGGTCCAGGGGCCCAGTACACCCACTGTGAAGGTGGCAGGGAAGATTGGTGCAGGGAGGAAGAGGAGAAATAAAAAGAAAAGCGGAAGAGGAAAAGGAGGAAAGCACCATGGTGGGTGATAGGAAAGACCATTTATGGGGGGGACCAGCATGATGGGACAAAAGAGTAGCAGGGTCAAAGAGACAAGGGAGAAGACGGAGAGGGAGCCATAGTGGGACAACTTGGGAGACAGAAAAGATGAAGGTCAAAGGAAAAGGATTATGCAATAGGAGAGAAAAAAGAGGGGACAAAACCATCACAGGAGATTCAATGTGGACCCTTTCCCACTCAAACCACTCCCTACCACCATGATACCTCCTCCCCCACTCTCTCACCCCTTCCTCCCCTTAATCCCTTGGTGTTTCAAGGCCAGGCTAGTCCTTTGCCACCCCCTACAGAAGTTCACCTCCACAACCTTTCCCCCCTTCCCCCTGCCACCACACACATACACACAACAAGGAATCTGAAGACGAGATTGAGGAGCAAAGTGAGAATAGATAACGTCTGGCAATATTTTCCCCCACTCCTGCCCCTACCCATCTACCCTCACTGCTACTATACCCTGTGTAAGCTTTCTTCTTCTCTCTTCATATCCCCTTCCCCCCAGCACTTCTCTCCTATCCAGCAACAGCTCCCTTTCCCCCAGTCTAAAATAAATAAGGGTTTATCCCAAGCTAGAATGTGACCTCAGCACACCTCTAACTTGTTCCCAGTTCTTTCTATGGGACCATTCCTACTCACCAGTGGCTCCCAAGGACTCAGCCTCTTCCTGGGGGCTTAGGGGTGGAGATTACAGCCCTGAGGTCCCCTTCAAGTCCTTGCCTCTCTCCTCTACCAACTGGCCCCCCAGTTGGGGAAGAAAGGACACAGATAGCACGGAGCCCCTGGGTGCTATCTCCATAATCTCCCACATATACACTCATAAACTGATTAGTAGCTGTGGGGCCCCCAGAGGGAGAAGGGACAAGAGATTAGCTGGGAGCTGAAACAGTGAAACAGCCAGATGACTGTGAGGTCCTTGATTTGACAGCCGCCACCCAAGCAAGGCTTGGGGTAGTTCAGGAAGGCAGCCACTCCCAGGGCACCTTTCTCCCCTTGTCATCCCAAAAGCAACTCGTTGCAGACTATGTGACTTTCCTGGGGATCACAGTAATGACTTAACTGTTAGCTGTTCTCTCCTCAAGCCTTCCTCATCATCTCCTCTCCTCTCCCTTTTGGCAGAGGAACTTTCCTCATATTGAGAACAGAGGTGCCATGAGCTCACTCTTCTCCCCCGTTCTATACCTCATAACCCTTTGTCAGTCAATCCCCTCCCTTCCTGTCTCCTCTGAAAGTAAGCACCCCATATCATTCCCACTGTCTCTGTAACTGCCAAGCTCTCTGTCTAATGGTTCCTTCTTTAATGTGCAGTTGCAGAAACTGTCATTTGACTATATCATCCCCTCAAGCTGTTGTCCTTTTGTCCTTCCTTTCACAGTCAAAGTCCTAAAAAATATGTATACACTGATTGCTTTCACTCCATTTGCTCTCACTCTGTAATCTGTCTCCCTACCTCACTACTTAATTGAAACCTTCCATTCCAAAGTTATCAGTGATCTCTTAATTGCTAAATATGGTGTTCTCGTCTTTTTTGACCCTCTGCACCATTTGACACCTGCTGAATACTCTCTTCTCTCTGGTTTTTATGGGATATCATTCCCTACTGACTCTTCTCTTACCTGTCCAGCTGTTCCTTCCCCAGTCTCCTTTTGCCAACCAGGAACTTCTAGTCCACCTGTCTGCCCTCTCTGTGAGATCATCACATCGATTTCTAGTATCATTTCAATGTGGACGGCTCCCAGGGCAACATTTTGTAGGCCCACGTCCCTCTTCTGAGAGCCTGTTCTGCATCTCCAGCAACCTAGCAAACATCTTTCATTGGATGCTCTGTGGCGTTGTTCAGTTGTTTTTCAGTCGGTACCCCATCTGAAAGTTTTCTTGGCAAAGATACTGGAGTGGTTTGCCATTTCCTTCTCTAGCTCGTTTTACAGATGAAGAAACTGAGGCAGACAGGATATGTGACTTTCCCAGACTTACACAGTGAGTAAGTGTCTGAGGCCAGATTTGAACTCAGAAAGATGAGTCTTCCTGACTCCAGGCCTGGCACTCTATGCACTATAGCGCCACCTAGCGCCGAAGATGCTCCATACTTATCTCAAAATCAACCTGTCCAAGAGAGGATTTATTACCTTTCCATGCAAATCCAACTCTCTTCCAAAAGCCCCTATTTCTGTTAAGCACTCCACCACCCTCTCAGGTTTGCAACCTCTGAGTCGCCGTCAGTTCCTCACTCTCCCTCGCCCCACATATTGACTCAGTTGCCAAGGCTTATCCATTCTACCGTTACAACATCCCTCATATGCCTCTTTTTGTCGGCTCGCCTGGATACCCTGGTTCAGACTGTCATTGCCTCTTACCTGTATTATTGCAATAACCCTCTAATTGGTCTTCCTGTCTCAAGTCTCTCCCCTCCAACTATCCTCTGTATAGTTGCCAATGTGATATTTCCTCTTTTTTTTACATTCCTATTAAACATATTTTTTACATTGGTGATGTTGTAAGGAAGAATTAGAACCAACAGGAGGAACCACAAGAAAAAGAAAACAAAACAAAACAGAAGAAAAAATTAGCAAATAGTATGCTTCAATCTGCATTCAAACTCCATAGTTCTTTTTTTGGATGTGGATAGCATTTTCCATCATGAGACCTTTGGAGATGTCTCAGATCCTTGCACTACTGAGAAGGGCTAAGTCTATCAACGTTAGTCACTGCGCAACGTGGCTGTTACCATGTACAATGTTCTCCTGGTTCTGCTTACTTCACTCAGCATCAGACCGTACAAGTCTTTCCAGGTTTTTCTGAAGTCAGCCTGTTCATCATTTCTTATAGCACAATAATATTCCATTACATTCACATACCACAACTTGTTCAGCCATTCCCCAATTGATGGGCATCCTCTCAATTTCCAATTCTTTGCCACCAGAAAAGAGCTGCTATAAATATTTGTGTACATGTGGGTCCTTTTCCCATTTTTGTGATCTCTTTGGGATACAGCTCTAGAAGTGCTATTGCTGGGTCAAAGGCTATGCACCCAACGTGATATTCCTAAAGCACAGGTATGTCATGTCCCTACCCCAGAAAAGCCCTCTTGATTTTAGGATGCAGTACAAACTCCTCTGCTTGGTATTTAAAGCCCTGCAACACCTGGCTCCAACCTGTCTTTCCAACAGATTAGGTGTCTTTAGTCTAGTCAGGTGGGCTTTCTTGTTGAGTCTCAGATGAAACATTCTATTTCCGATCTCTATGTTTTGCACAGGCGTGGAATGCACTTTGTCCTCAACTCTGCTGCTGAGATTCCCTAGTTTCCTTAGAAGATGACATCATTTATTCCCCTTCCACATGTGGGATGTTTTTGATTCCCTCCCTGCAATCTGCTAGTGCCTACCCACCAAAGTTAACTTGTCTATCTTTTATATCCTACCTATGTGTATACATATTGTTTTCCCCAATTGCATGTGATCTCCTGTGATGCGAACAAGTTCTGTAATCTTTGATTAGCTTCACTTAAGGTACACAGGCACTAGGATACCAGTGATTGTCAAAGGTTTGATTGATCATTTCAAGCTGCATTGTTAATTCTGACTCACAAGCTGGAAAAGGCAATTCTTGAGAATTCTAAAAATCTAAATTCTGAATTATTAGCATATTCATTACATATATCATATAGATTAATATAAAAATCATAATTCCCTTCTCATTCCCTCCTTTTAGCCATAAAGGTCGGCACGACCCTTGAAGGCCCATAAAGAACATTCAATTGAAACATGATTTTGAAAAATTTCTTGATTACAGAAATTTGCTATAAAAGGAAAAAGAAGGACATAGTTATCATATAACAGGGAGAAAACTCCCTTAGCTCTGTTTGATTCCAGGCATGAGTTGTATCTGACAGCCAATCATATAGTTACAGAGTGCTAAAGGCAAGACTCAGGATTAACCAATTGTGAATCTTCCTTTTCCAGATAGGAAATAACACAGTGAAAGAAATAAAGTCAGAAAGATCCTACCTAGGCTGTGTTCTAGGTTGTTCCCACAACTTTCCCAGGCACAGACATCCACCTTAGCAGTCCTCAGACTGCCACAAATACCATTTTCTATTATTGGCTTTGTGATACTTCAGACAACTATCTCTGCAATCAAAGCTCAAAACAAATTACAATCCCAGGAGTTTTTACCTTAAGTAGCAAAGTTTTCATTAATCACAACTTAAGAAGATAAGTGTAACATAAAAATAAAAGGAAAAAGAACCTGTTACTTCCATGAACATTGAAAGATTGAAGGGACAGCAGCAAGGAGAAAAAAAGGCTTAGTTCATAGAGGGAGTAACTGCAGACCTCAGCCCATGTTCCATTTCTTGGGTCAGTGGTCTGCATCAGATGTCGTCTTCTTCTCATCCTGAGGTGTTGGGAACAGCTATCCACCTCAGATGTCGGCTGCTTCAGACCCTGTTCAATCATCAGGGTCAGGTCACTTCTGGGTTCCACAATCCAGGTAGGCGGTACCACCCTTTTGAGGTACAGATAGGTGGATCCAGGACCCCACTGCCCAGAGTTTGGCTGCAGTGGGGGTGGTGAGCAGGACTACAAAGGGTCCTTTCCACCGTGGCTCCAAGGAGTGTTTTCGGAGACGATGTTTTCAATGGACTCAGTCTCGGGGTTGGATCAGGGGCTGAGTTTCAGTTGGAATTTCTAAAGAATGGGACTGTGAGACAAGTTGGTAAGTCTGTGATATTTTCTGAGCCAACCCAACACAGTATTGTAGGAGGGAGCCTTTGGTTGCTATGCTTCCCACCTATGGACACAGTGGCAGTGGGTGTCCTGTTACTACGTCATAGGGACTGAGCTTATGGGAACCAAATGGTCTAGAACAGGCGTGGGGAACCTTTGGCCTTGTAGCTCCATGTGGTCTTCTAGGTCCCTGGCAGCCTTTTGACTGAATCCAAGTTTTTTGTTAAGGGGATTTGCTCTGTGAAGTTTGGATTCAGTCCAAGGCTGCACTTGAGGACCTAGAGGA